AACTTAATCACTAAATAGATATACATAAAACAGCCACTAGAAAACTGGGAAAGAAGTCTTGAAACTGTGGCCAATTCTTAGCAGCTTGTTGGAAGAGGTGCAGCCCGTAAGCCACGAGATAAAATGAAAGTTCATTCCTTTCCCTCTTCCTCATTCATGCTTTTTAAATTTCTCAAAAAAACCCACAAAAAAGCAACAACAACCCTCTGAAATATTGTCAGAGTACAAGAGGGGCAATGTGCTATCCATTTAGAGATTATGCTTTCTATCCCTTTTTCCAAGACTCAGAAGGAGAAGCCCTGAATGTCTGCAGACATTAAGCATTGAATGAGCACTGAAATCCAACTTACCATATTTTTCTGTGTGTATAAGATGCCCTCATGTACAAGACCCCCTTCTAACCCCAAATTATGAAATCTTAACTTAGCTTTGAGCATTCAGCCTCTGGGCTCAGAACACTTGGACATTACGAGTCCCCGTTGAATCTGAGCACTGACTACAGGCTCCACCTCCAACAAGGTGTTTTTCCAATTGGTTTGTACAGCATCAGCTGACATCAGTTACGTAAGGCTTGTGACCAGAGGAAGCTAAGTCTCCTGAAACTAAGCCTTGTGATTGGAGCAGCCTGTTTGGGCAGTTTTGTTCTCTCCTCAGCTTACTTCCGTGTATAAGACAACCCTCAATTTTTAGTCTAAAGATTTTAGACAAAAGTATTGTCTTATACATGGAAAAATATTTAGTCCAGATAAAACTGAGATGTGATAGTCTTCTGACTTCACAAGTTAGTGATATGATTCTTTTGCTTACAATCACAAATCCTCATGTTTTGCAGTATGGGGGTTCTCACTGGCAGACGTACTACTTCTGGCTAAAGAAACTGTGTTTGTAACCAGAAGTATTTTAAATCCTTCTTCGTATGGCACACTAAGACACACTTCTTTCTGACCCAACAGTTGAGGACTTGATGTGTTACCATAACTTCTGAATAGGCAACAAACTGCTTCCACATTTCATCTGGTCACAGAAAACCCCTCTTGGGTATGAAGATCCTTGTTAATTTAATTCTGGGGCACAATTCAAGCAGCTACTATGGACTTTAACATTTTAAGTAAACTGGCTGTGGCCTTTTTAAAGAACAACTCCTCTTGTACTAATCAGTTGCTTTCACATACATCATAATTCACAGTGGATAAGTTGATGGCTATCAAGAGATATGTTTTTTTATAAATGGTGCTAAGGACCAAAGATATTATGTTGTTGTGGTGGTGGCCAAGTCTATTTCCAACATATGGTGTCCCTAAAATGAGATGTTACACTCTTAAGGAGTGGTCTCCTATTGCCCATTCGCTAATGGGTTTGCATGGCCAAAAGGGATTTCAAGCACCTCACGTCCCCTGAATCCAGTTTAACACTCTATCCACTACACCACACTGACTCTCAGTCATTAAACAGCAGATAACTGTAATCTCTTGAGGATGTTTTAAAAAAATTAAAGTTGACATCGAGGGGGATTATGGATAAGGTCTACAAGGAAAGATTTACTCATCCATTCCTCCAGCTGAAGTTTTAAAGACATTGTGTGCCCACTGGGTGGACAACCACTGAAGGCAAATTGCAACTATAGAGCAGACAATTTCTTTTTTAAAAAAACTGTACGGAAAAAGCATCCACCAGTACAGTTGCATGGCCTCAAATCTCACTGAGATCACTTAAAAAAATTAAATACACCTACACTACAGAAGCCTATTCACAGAACACTTGCAACATAACAATAGTCATTTAAAAAAATTAAATCCACATCCTCTGAAGCCCTGTTTACAGATCTGTTGCAAAATATCACCAGACTTGACTGATTCTCAAATCTAAAAAAAGTGGTTGCCAACATGGGTGTGTATGTGTTTGTGCATGCAAGTATGTGTTTGTAATTAGTAAATGTTTTTGACCTCTGATTTTTCTTATCTGTTCATATAGCACAATCAATGTGCATATTATGTATATGAACATATGAAGCTATTTAATTATTTTTAAAAAAATTACTTTGCCTTTCTCCTCAAAAAGGACCCAACAAGGCTTAAAACATTAAAAATGACCATATTTAAAAGCTCGAAACAGTAAGTATAAAAATATTAAAAAGAATTAAACAAATATTATATTAAAAATGGTAAATAAAATGCATACTAAAATCACATTTAAAAGCAAAAAGCCACAATATTCCATATTAAAAAAACCCTCTCAGTCTGTCACTAAAATAAATCCTTCCTGAAGAGAACAGAAAGTTTTTTTTGTCTGATTGTGGAAGGACAGTAGAGATTAGGCTAGCCTGGCTTCCTGTAGGAGAGAGTTCCAGAATCTGGGAGCAGTGACAGAAAAGGTCCTCTCCCATGTCCCCACGCAACACACCGGTAAGGATGGTGGGACTGACAGAAAGGCCTTCCTTGATTATCTTAACACCTGAAGAGGCTCATAAAGGGAGATATGGTCCCTGAGATAGCTTGGGCCCAAGCTATGAATTCCACCCTTAAACTGAAAAAGCTTTTTCCCTTTTGACGTATGTCAAAGCCCTGTTAAATTTCTTGTTTTATTAATTAATTACTGTCATTGCTAGGAAATGGGAAATGTTTTCTTCATAAGGACTCTATATCAGACATTCATTATTGCTGAACTAGAAAAAGTCACAAAAAATAACTATTATTAACATTAAAATTCAGTGTTTTGACAGCTTTATCATTTTAAATGCTATTCCTAGCTCAAGTTAACTACTGTATTAGGTACCTTACATAACAGTGGTTGGGAATATGTCTTCCTGGTCTTTTTGGACAGCAACTCTTAGTACCACTAGCTAACACAACCAATGGTGAGGAATGATGGGAACTGCAGTCTAACAACATCTGGATATTATGCATCACCCAGTTCTATGAAACAGAATCATATCTTTGGCCCATACAACATAGCATTCTCTTAGCAGAAAACAACAATGCTGTTCACAGGGTCCAGGAGCCAATTTGCTATCTCTCAGGTTCACCAGGGTCTGTACAACCCTTTCCCTGATGAAACCAGAAGTGGCCAGATATTGCCTTCCATTTTTTAAAAAGGGGGAATGTCTTATTTGATCTCTTTCCATCAAAATAAGGTCCAGTACACACATGGTGCACATATATTCAAAGAAAAAAATCTGCTTCTCAAAGCACAATTCCCCATGCCTGAACAGACATTTTTTTTTTCAGAGCAGGACCTCCAAAGGACACAAAAATAGGTTTTTGCATGCTAACAGTTTCTACCAGATATTATTCATTGAGTCAGTCTACAATACTATTCCAATTTTCTACAAACAATTCTACAAACAGATTTTTTTATTTTGCATTTACTCTCAACAATACTCATGCAAGTAATATAATCTTAAACATTATTATAAAAGAATACTTTACAGTAACAAAAAGCCTGCAAATGTATAAATTCCATTCTCAAGAAACGTGCCCCCTTTTTTCTACCATGACAAGATGCATGATGAGACCCAGATTCTATTCTATGATAGAGTAACTGGTCGGGCAGAAGATACAAAGGCTGAGAACCACTAGTTTAAAGCAGCACCACTAACTTTGTACATTCAGCAGTGCTTTACAAAAAGGAGGCAGGCAGTGACAGGTGGTCAGGGAAGCAGGTATGGAGAGAGAAAGAGAGTTTGTGTGACAGAGTGTGTGGCACAATGGCAAAGCAAGAGGTACAAGGTGCAACAAAGCAAAAGGTGAGGAAGGATGGGAGAATGGCCGGGCAAAGGCAGGTTTGGCCTCTATAAGGCACAGTGAGGGAGCTCTTAGAGATTTAACTGCACAGCTCACCTTAAGTGGAATGGCCCCTGCCGCCGAGTCTACAGCCTTTCCCCTCACTGGACTGCCACTTCCTTGCTCCCCAAACTCTCTCACCTTCCCACATACCCCCCGACCTCCCACCCTTGTGCTTTATGCCCCACCTCTGCACCTCCCTCACTGTCTGCCTTTTGTAAAGCAACAGCAGATGCGGAACAGATCTGTTAAGCAGAAGGAGGGCAGGATGATGAGGAGGGGGAGACAAGGTGAAGAGGCAATAGGGAGGCAATCTATAAGGCACTGTGCCTTCTAGAGGCCAAATGGGGATGGAAAAGTGTTGGGGGGGGGCAACAGCAGAGGCTCTTCAGGTGGCGGAAGAGCCTGGACTACCTGTTTCCAGAAGTGCATACAGTATCTGAAACAAGAGGTGCAACCTGCTCCCCCACCCCCTTCCGATAACACAGCATTTACCAATACAGTATTTCAAAGCATTCTCTCCTGAGGAGAAACACCAAGATCACTTGGAGGCGCTAGCCCGACCCCGAGGGCCCCCACAGGACTCTCCTTCTCAGCCACCCCCACCATCTGAGATGCTCTGGAGGCTTTCCATTCTGCACACAGAAAAGGGCCGGGTTTTTTTTTCGGGGCCCTATGTCGTCTACTCTACATATTAAAATATGGCTCTGGCTGGGAAACGGCCAATCCAAACATGCAATGGGGAAGGCTTTTAATTCTGAGATGTGTGTAACATCTCGTCGGATTTTCTGTTTTGTTATTGTCGCTGTTTGGTCATTATTATTTTTCGGGGGGGGGGGAGAAGAGGCTCTCTCTTTCTTGGATGCTATTCCAAGCCCATTCACAAGACAGCATTGAGGTCTCGGGCTCCAAGAAGCAAAACCAGAGGAGGCAACCCCAGTCGAGACAGGCTGTCAGAGTCCGAAGCTTTCTAAGCCCCTGGAGAACTTCCTCGACCGCGAACGAGCAAAAACAGCGGCGCTCGGCACAACAACGAGCATCTTTTCCCTCCCTCCCCGCCCGGCCCCAGCGCTGCGCGGACAGACCGTCTTCTTTCCCCTCGCCCCTTGGAGCGAGGCTGGGAGGGGGGGAGGGAGAGAGATGGGGGAATCTTTCCTCAACCCAGACGAAGAGCGAGTCACTGCGCCGCGGTCCCCCCTCCTCCTATCACGACGTTCTCACCCAAAGATGCAGAAAGAGGGGCGTCCAGCGCCGAGAAACACCTCAGACGGATCCGCTGCCGACGCGCCTATCACCGCCTGACTCCGGCCCGCGACCGCCCGCTTCTTCTCCACCGCCGCGCCAGGGTGCGGTTTCTCCGCTCCGCAGGCCAATAAACAGGCCAGTCATTGGAGCGCGCCCACGTGGCAAGCAAGCAGCCTGCTGATTCGCTGGCTGTGCAGAAGGGCCGCGCTCCGTCGGCAGAGGGAACCAGTCTTCCGGCAATTTTTTTGCCCCTCGGTCTCGCGGATCGAGCAACAGCCCCCCCCCGTGGGACGGTCACGCGCTCCCCATGGCCTGGTTGATGGTCCCCTTTTCATCCCGAGCCCCCTCCGTTGCTCCCTCCCGTCTCGACGGGTGGGCGGGGCAAGAGGAGGCGTTGCTGTTGTTCGAGCCTGAGGGCGCCTCCCCTCTACCGGCCCCGATCCCTCCCCCGAGGCGTCCGTCTCTGCTCTTGTGAACACACGCCAGAGGAGGGGGGGTTTGAGGGGTTTTGTCCTCCCACTTTTCCCTGCCCTTCTCTCCGCATCTACGAGGCTTCGGGACTGCCAAGTATTTGCCATTGTAAACTACCCTGAAGGCACACTTCTTTCTGTTGTTGTCAGGTGCCATTAGGTCCGCTTCCGACTTAATGGCGACCCCATGAAGGAGCGCTCTCCAAAATTGTTCTGTCCTCAGCCGCCCTGCTCAGCTCTTACAGACGCAAGCCTCTGGCTTCCTTTAGGGATTCGATCCATCTCGTATTTGGTCTTCCTCTTTTCCTGCTGCCTTCCACCTTTCTCAGCATCTTTGTCTTTTCCCAAGAATCCTGCCTTCTCATAATGTGGTCAGAATAGGGCAGACTCGGTTTCATGATTTTTTCCTTCAGAGAGAGTTCAGGCTGGACTTGATCTGTGACCCACTTGTTTGCCCTTCTGGCAGTCCAGTCCACAAAGCTCTCCTCCAGCATATTTCAAACCAAACAATTTTTCCCTGTCAGTTTTCCTAACTGTCCAGCTTTCACACCCATACATGATGACTGGAAATACAAGTGTGGATGATTTTGGTCTTGGTCACCAATTACATATCCTTACACTTTTCTGTGATGATTGAGCCAAGGTATTGAACATATTTCACCATTTCAGTATCTTAATTGTCAAAGTTGTGTAGTTCTTCAGTAGTCATGGTTTTGGTCTTAATGTTCAATTGCAGTCCTGCTTTGGTACTTTTTTCACTTTCACTAAAAGTGGTTTCAAGTGATTCTTGAAAGTGAACTGCCGGAAAGATGGTATCATCTGCATTTCTTAAATTACTGATCTGGAAGATGAGTCATGGCAACTGGACTTCTTTTTTATTAGCTTGAAACCAAAGAGGTCTTGGTTGCCAGACTCAACTTCCAAATAACTTTACCTGGATGACTGAGAATCTTTATAGTTAAATTGCTGATGTTTCTTCCCACCAATCTTCATTTCTCCTTCATCTGAATCCAGTTTGGCTTTTCATATATGTTCCGCATACAGATTGAACAGGTAAGGGAATACAATGCACCCTTGTCTGACACCTTTGCCTATGGAAACCATTCTGTCTCTCCAAATTCTGTAATATGCCCACAGTACAAGTTATGTATTAGGACAATCAAGTGCTGAGCCACACCCATTTCTTTCAGAACAACTCATAGATTTTTGTGATTTACACAGTCAAAGACTTTGCTGTGGCCTATAAAGCATAGACTGATCTGAAATTTTTCAGTGCTCTCCAGTAGCCAGAAATTTACAATGTGATTGCAAGTGCCTCTTCCTTTTCAAAATACAGCTTGAACATCAGGCACTTCTTGCTTTATATGAGGTATATAAGTTAAATTAATAATAAATAAATAAATAAAAGCCTTTGTTGCAACATATTGAGCACGGCTCTGCATGTATTAGAAGTTAAAGCAATGGTCCTAGGGTTACTGCAGTCCTTGTCATCTCCTTTCTTAGGGATTAGAAACTGGTAACAGAAAAGTGTGTATGATCTTGTTCTTGGTCTCCAATAACACATTCTTACACTTGGTTATCTTTTCTAATTCCTTCATTGCTGCCCTTCCTACTAGTACCAATCTTCTTTTGGTTTCCTGGCTGCACTGTCCATTTGGACTGATGGTTGAACCAAGGTAAACAAACCTCTAACTATTTCAAGTTCTTCATTGTTAAAGTTGAGTCTCTTTGCTGTCAACCTGGAGGACTGACTTGTCTTGGAACAATCTCCACATCCCAAATCTTGACACAACACCCCCCCCCACACACACACACAGAAAACACTTTGCAACCCCCTTCAAAGTCACAGTTCTCAGACTGGGAACTTGTGTAGAATCTAGGTAGAGGCTAGATTCCTAAAATTGATATGTTTCCATTCCCATTGGTCTTGGATATTGAAGAGTGTTCCCTATTGGTCCACAGAGGTGAGACATATTTATTAAGGGGGTGATATGATCCACTGAGCACTATGTACTCTACATCACAATGCGATGGTGTTGCTATCCCAAAGAATTATGGAAGTGATTTGGTTTCCAAACACAAACAGCCCTAGTCAAATATCTGCAGAAAAATCCACCTCATGTCTAACAAATCACATGTTCATTACATAGAATTAACCTCTGAAGGGTGCTGTATGATCTTTGCAGTCTTCTGTCTACACTGCAGATTAAATTTCATGAAATTTAGAGCCTGTCCAGATTGGCATATAGACTGGTATATGGACGGCTGTTGGTATGGTTTGGTTAGAACCGAATTATGATTCAGCGCCATCCTAATTAGCTCATTGTGTACCCTGTGTGGACAGTTAGCTCACACCCAAATGGGTGACATTATCTGAGGTGACAACCCTGCAATGTAATCAGTGGCAATAAAAGGGAGGACAGAGAAGCCCCCTTCTTTTTCTTTAATATTTTCAGCTGACACAGTGCAATTCTAATACTGAAAGAGAAAAGCCACTGAAGCTGGCTAAATGAAGGTTGTTAGAAAAGGTGGGGATTTTATATACTTTGATTCAACCAAAAATTCAAATGGAGAGTGCAGCTGGGAATTCAGAAGATTGGGACTGTGATAATTACATGATCTCACTTGAATGTGTATATTAAAGTAATTAGACTGAATTGTTTGAATCAGTTATTAAGAAATGAATGAATAGTTAATACATTACGGCTATACATATCTGAGCAGCAGTTACTAAGTGAAGAACCAATACTGCAATATTCTGGGAATCTTATTTGTTTTTACAGGTAGCATTTTAAACTGATATATTTGTACTTTTCTTGCTTGTTTTTACAACAATACATACTGTGGATGATTCTTTCTAACCATGTTCCACTGCATTGGCTTGGTTGATTACTAGAATAGGAGCCAGGACGTGCTCTTCTTATTCAGTCATACAGTATATGATTCTCCCAATTTTTATATCCATAAAAGATGGGCTCATGTCCTCTCTTATCTATTTCTAGACATGTCATCCATGTCATTACAGCATCTGGTATTTAAATTCTGAATTGGTTGTAAAATATTCAAAAATTGCAATTGATTCAGGAAGCCTGTATCTGAAGATGCCAGTTCATCTACATTTAGATAACTGACAGTTACCCATGAAGAGTTGGGGCATCCATGTTGTCCCTTTGTGGGTTGAGATAAGATTATAGCTGAGGCTGTTTGCTGGACATTCTACTCATAAACAATCCTTATCAAGAGAATTTCCATTGGGACTCTCAGCAGGCAGCCATGTCTCACAGGCTGGGTAGGAGATGATATACTTTGAGTTTCTATTTTCATAATTTCTATCAAAGCCATTCATTCTCTCCTCAGAAGTTATCACTTGTTTTTGACCCCTGTCATCTGCCTAAGTCACTCTCAGGTTTTACAGTGGGGTACTCTTCCCATTATCATCAACATGATTATACACAATACAAGATTTTTCCAAAGATCTTGAAAAGTGCTATCACATCACTCCTCAGTCTTCTTTTCTCAAGGCTAAACCTGCCCATTTCTTTCAGCCTTTCCTCATAAGGCTTAGTATCCAGTTCCCTGATCATCCTTGTCACCCTCCTCTGAACTTGTTCCAATTCGTTAGCATCCTTCTTGAAGTGTGGTGTCCAGAATTGGACACAATCCTCAAGGTGAGGCCTAACCAATGCTGAATAGAGGGGAACAAGGACTTCACAGGATTTGGAAACTATGCTTCTATTAATTCAGCCCAAAATAGCATTTGCTCCTTTTATAGCCACATCACACTATTGGCTTGTGATCCACAACAATTCCAAGATCCTTCTCGCTCGTAGTTTTACTGAGCCAGGTATCCCCCACCTTGTAATTGTGCAATTGGTTTCTTTTTCCGAGGTGCAGTACTTTGCACATCCCTGTTGAATTTCATTCTGTTGCTTTCGGCTGTGCTCCATCCTATCAAGGTTATTTTGAATTTTGTTTCTGTTTTTTAGGATATTAGCTATTCCACCCAATTTTGTATCATGTGCAAATATGACAAGCATTCCCTGTGCCCCCTCATCCAAATCATTAATAAAAATATTGAAGAGCACTGTACCCAGGACTGAGCCTTGGGGTACCCCACTTGTTACCTCCTCCCAGTTAGAGAAGGAGGCATTCATCATCACCCTCGGAGTAGGATTCTGTAGCCAATTGTGTATCCACCTGATACAGTACTTGATTATCCAGCCCACACCTAGTTAGCTTGCTAATCAGGATATCATGGGACACTTTGTCAAAAGCTTTGCTGAAGTCAAGATATACTACATCTGTACTATTCCCTCTGTCTATCGGGGATGTTATTTGATCAAAAAATTAGATCAGATTAGTTTGGCAGGATTTGTTCTTGACAAATCCATGTTGACTTCTAGTTATTACTGCATTGTTTTCTAGGAGCTTGCACAATGACCACTTTACTATCTGTTCCAGAATTTTTCCTGGGATTGATATAAGGCTGGCTGGCCTGTAGTTCCTAGGTTCCTCTTTTTTGTCCTTTTTTGAAGATAGGGATAAAATTGGCCCTCCTCCAATCCTTTGGCACCTCACCCGTTTCCCATGATTTCAAGAAAATAATGGATCTGAACTCGAAGAATTCTTCAGCCAGTTCCTTCAATACTCTCGGATGCAGTTCATCCAGCCCTGGAGATTAATGCTGATACAAGAACATGCTGGTACTTAGATTCAGGTGAGACTGGGCATTGTGATTCTCTTATCAGATCTTTTATCAACTACAGAAAAAATGACATCCTGTTGGTTAGTGTAGTGAATCACAGATGTGTTATAGTGTCAAATATAGGGGGTTTACTCAGAAAGTGAATCTACAAATGCTCCAGAATATTTATGAGCTCTTCTTCGCCTGTCTAATTCTACTGAAATCTCTGTTTTCCATTTGGATACTGGCTCTTGCACACAGAAGGCCATAGCATATATTTATGCTGTTAAATACTGTTTTAAAATTATAAGGATAAAATCTGTCCCAACATCTGCTTTTAGAGAAGTGTTGACTTTTAACAATAGAGAACTTTATGTTGGAATCAGGAAATTCTTCAGGTCATTGATATACCGTATTTGCCGGCGCACAAGGAGACCGGCCGTATAAGATGACCCCCCCAACAGGAGGAGGGGAAACGGGTGGGTGGCGGGCGAGCGAGTGCGCGGCTGGCTCAGTGGCGCGGGGCGGTGGGCAGCCCAGCGGCGGCTCAGGCACGGCAGCAAGAGGGTGAGGAAGAGCGGAAGAGGCTGAGTGGGCGGTGGCAGGAGGAGGAGGAGGAGGAAGAGGAAAAGGAAAACAGACGGGTGGCGGGCAAGTGAGCACGTGGCTGGCTCAGCGGCAGAAGAGCGTGGTCTACTCGGTGTTACTACCAGGTAAGTGACTTCCCTGGGAGGGAGGGAGGGAGGGTTTGCTAGAAGTGCCCCTGGCGTATAAGACGCGCCCCCCCCCACTTGGAGGCATGTGTTTTTGGGCCCAAAAAGTCATCTTTTACACCGGCAAATACGGTATACGAATGTGACACCTTTGTTTGCCCACGAAAAAGTCAAATAATTAATGTAAGCTTTTGTGTAAATTCAGCTTAAGAGGATGCCTAGCAAAGCTTTGCCATGAATCCTTAGGAGGGAAAATCATTTTTTCTGCACCACAAGTTACTGGAGCATTCTTACTCCATGAAATATTGCATTAATTGGATTCGGCATCCTTCAGTCTCAAGAAGCTATGGTAACATGCTCTGAATAGAGGACTTGAAACAGCGTCTAGTGTGGCTGAGGAGGCCAATATGAGAGTGACAATCTCTTCCACACTGAATACAATCTGTACACCACACAATCCCCCCCACACTGAAGACA